TTCAACCTTCACAAACCACCCACAGTACGAGGGGCGCAAAAAGCGTAACAGGATGCTGCCAGTTGTGGCTTGGAAAGTCTTTTGAAACCATCGTGTTCCGGTTGCGGTACTTATGAATTTTGGCACGTGTCCTGTGTTTTTCTCGTACACGGACTGCAGCTATGTCTTCTATTGTATGGTTGGGCGCTCACCGATCTGGTCAGCGAACATTCGCGTCCATTTTTGCCTTGGAGCTCAATCTAGAGCCCTCACAGGCAGTCGCATAGTGACTTGTACAATACGACGACGTGGAACCAACAAAGACCGAACTGGTGACCGAACTGGCCATTCCTGACTTATTAGCCGTAATCAGCCAGTTATATCCAATCCTAAGTGTGGATCACCCGAGATTGGAACTCGCGACCGTTTGTTCATGGAGTGTAACACTTTGCCAGAGAGCTACGGGCCGGTTGTTTCGTCGGTCGCGATCAGGAATTTGATGAATTTTAAGGCGTTCACCGAGCTGGCTAGGGAGCATGCTTGTCCCATTGTGCCTAGGAGCTCAATCTAGACCCCATCGGTCGGTCGGCGTTAAGCTGCTACCTTTTGTACTGACTCAGCTTCCGTAGAGGCTTTTAAGAGAAAGATAGGTAAGCAAAGCAGTGCGTAGCGTGATGCCATTTGGTCAAAGTTTATTACTGATGTAATACTACTTTATATATTTAAGTAACGTTTGTTTGTAACCGGTTTCTCGCTGTCTCAATCGCGTTCTGCATTAAAAAGCGTGTACCCAACATAATCTGAATTGGGCAGCGGTAGTAGTAGTAGTAGTAGTAGTCGGCTGAACCTAAGTCACCCATTCACTCGTTACGACTAGGGAATTGAACAAGGTGAGTGCATCAAATGCGTACAGTAGTTGCCAAAGATCACGCAACATGTCGACATGTGCGAAAGATTGATACTCTTTAGCTAATCGAAATTGACTCAGGTTGTGAAACTGATTATCGTGTAGTATATTCTGAATTCATTTCAGTCATTATGGGATGCGGGCTTCTTAACGAACTTCTTTCTGATCAGTAACAAAACGTATATATTGTAAAAACTGGCTACTTAAGTAGTATGCCTTTTTATAATTTATTTTGACTGCCTTTACAAATTCAAATATACTTTATGGAAAGCATGCACAAAAAATTGTTTTTGTACTTGTTTGATAGAAAAATACGCCTACTTTAAATTTTATACTCAAACAAAGGGTATCTTTCGGTTTTAAAAAAGTTGCTAATAATGAGCTTTTTTACAGTTGTGAGGTGTTTATTCATTATAAATCGTATCCTTCAATTTATTAATGCTGCCTATATTGCATAAAATATGTTCCACACCTATTTCAATATTTTATGACAACTATGTGACTTCTTCCTCAAACTGTAGGCGAAAACGTACTTTTCCTTAAACAAGATGAACACAGTGCGCAGTTTCTAAATCTTGAATTGGAGCGTAGCAGTCACTAGGTTAGAAAATTATTCGGCCATTGAGCAACTTTTTTAAAACCGAAAGCTTCCCTTCCTTTGAGTATAAAATTTAAAGAAGGCGTAATTTGCTATCAAACAAG